ATATAATCCAGTCCAATAAGCATGTACCCAGGCTGATGAAATGGAAAGTCATATTAATCCATGTTTTCAATCATTGAAACTACTTTTCCAGGTTTGTCAGAAAATACATTAGTCAGTCATGCCTGTTTTTCAAAGTTAAAGAAAAGCTGGTTTCTCTTCAGCTTCCAAAAGCTGACTGATACCAGGGTCCCCTAATGGCCACTGGGATCTTCATACCACCAACTGCTATGATGGAAAAGTGCATTGTATGTATCTTAGGTGACTACGATAACACCAGGCAGTCATAATAAAAATGACATAAGACAGTAGAAGAGCAGTAAAAGGGTAAAATATGACATCTGCATCTTTGCTGTAATAGGTCTTAATGATGATTGCTTTAAAATAGCTGCCATTCATTCAGCTGTGTGTTTCATCCCTGAGACAAGCCTGTAAACAGATTATATGAACATTGCTTCTTTTGTAGCTCACAAGTGAGACCCTATCATTGTGTATTGTTTTGTATATTCTTTATCTCAAAACTAAATTAGCTTTGTCAATTTGATGAACAAATACATGTCTGCCTCCTCCCTACAGTCTTTCATCACCATCACTGGACTCTTGACCACAGTCATGAATGTGTGATTCAAGCAGTTCAATTTCATTAGCAAAGGCAAAAAGATTTTAGGTCCCATTGGAAAAAGTACTTAGGGGACTCTGATGAGCAAGCTCCAGGCAGCCCCCTTTGGATGAGAAGTGGCAGATGGTATGTATCCTCAGAAAATATGAAAAACCACACTAGCTAATAATGATTAGATTAACCATCTGCCAGAACATAGTTTGACTGTTCCTCAGAGGTTTTGCATGATATTAAGTGGAGGTTCTAACTGTGCTCCTCATTCATTAAAGAAGTAGACAAGACATTGTGCATTTAAGGTCTTTGCTGACCCCCTCCCTATACTCATGAATGTACACACAACTCTTTTCCTTCTTTATTTTTTGCTCTATTTTATGTCTTTATAAGGATAAGGGATAATGGATTTCTGGTAATGGATGGAATTATTGTAGAACATCCCTTCATGGATGTTTAGATCTCTAAACAAATTAGCTCTGTTCACTCATCTGTCTTTTGAATGCATTTTGTTAACAGCTGTTTACCCTCAGAATAATTTCCTTCTTCCACTTGGTTTTCACTTTTGGCAGCCAACCTCTGTTTTCTTCTTTCAAGTCAATTTTTATTTGTATAACGCTGTATCGCAAATTTCCCTCCCGGGCTTTACATTATGTACAGCATACAACACTCTGGGTTTCCAAAAAGCTCGTACCAAAACCTGACACAAATTCTTGACTTTATTGGTTGCACAGGTTTCAGTGAAGTTGATTGAAAGGGGGATTAAATATTTACAGAGATTCTCTGTGATCGTGTCTTTACAAATAAGAGGACATTCACAAAAGAGAGACAGAAGAAGTGATGACTGATATACAGTCACCTGACACTTTATTAAGCACACCTGTATATGCACTTACAGTATGTTTGGAGATGTCTATATTTTTGTCCTCCTCACATACATACATACATACATGATGGGGTCAGGAACACCTCAGAATATAATGTACAATACCACCTTTTACTATGACCTCAATAGTAAACATATCATTGAATGTATACATTTATGACAATTTCTGAAACTGAAACATTTTGAGCTTCACAAACATAGATGTTAAGGTGTTGCAGTGAAATGCATACAATTGTACAGGTACCTAAAAAAGTGGTCACTGAGTGTGGATATTCTCAAAACAAGCACACTTGAAATGTCTGTCATCCTGTTTGCACAAACTGGGGAGCGATATGAACAAGAGAAGGACGGGAAGGAGAGACAAATACAAGAGTGAAGAGAAACAGAAAATGAAGGACAGAAAATAGATTACAAAGAAAGAAGATGAGAGACGGGCAGTAGGGGAAATGAGATGAAGAGAAAAAGGACTTATGGAAAAGTTTTGATTATCTGTAAACTTGACCTATCTGAGTTCAGACATCCAAGTGGCACCCTAAGGAGCCCAGCTCTGTCTCATTCAGTTTCACACTGGTGGCATTTCTTGCACCTTTAACCTGAAATTGCTTTCAGACTCTGGGCCCTATTTTGAGGATCCACGACATCTGATGATGTATTGGTACAAGTGGTGTTTGGATGTGTCCATGTTTACTTTGGTACAACAAGAAAAAGCAGTTCAAGCAAGTAGCAAAAGGGCTGTACTTGATCTCCCCATTAAGGTGTATTTTGGTTCTACTCTGAGCCCCTTCTGGATGTCTGAACTCCATATGCTATCTCTAAGGCTAAGTCTGGCCATCCTGTGAAGGCAACTCATTTCAGCCGCTTGTATTCGAAATCTTATTCTTTCAGTCACTGCCCACAGCTTGTGACCATAGCTGAGGGTTAGAGCATAGACTGACTGGTCAATTGAGAGCTTTGCCTTTCAGCTCAGCTCCTTCTTCACCACAACGGTCTGGAACAACGTCCACATTAATTCTGATGCTGCCCCTATCCGCCTGTCAATCTCAAGCTCAATTTTACCCTCACTTGTGAACAAGACCCTTGATACTTAAACTCACAAGGGGCAGCAACTCACTCCCAACCCAGACGGAGCAGTCCACCATTTTCCTGCAGAGCACTATGGCCTCAGACTTGGAGGTGCTAACTCTCATCCCCACTGCTTCACTCTTAGCTGCAAACTGCCCCAGTGTGTGCTGGAGGTCACGGTCTGATGAAGCCATCAAAACCACATCTTTGGCAAATAGCAAAAATGCAATTTTGAGGTCCCCAAACCAGACACTCTCCTCCCCCCAAGCTGTACCTTGAGATCCTGTCCATGAAAACCACAAACAGGACTGTGACAAGGGAAAACCCTGACGAAGGCCAACACTAACTGGGAATGTGTTTGACTTCGAGTATGCGTACACAACTCTGCCAAAAATCCTTCTCCGTAGCCTCCCTGAACTCCTCCCACATCCAATTTTTGCATCCGCAACCATCTGAGCTGCAGCATTTTGGCCTGCCAGTACCTATCAGCTGGTTCAGAAGACACCTGGGCCAGCCAAGCCTGGAAAGCTTTCTTCTTCAGCCAGATGACTTCCTTCACCACTGGCGTCCACCAGTGGGTACTCAGGTTGCCGCCATGGTGGCAGCTATTCACTATATAAAATAAAAGACAATTTTAGTTTTTATTGATATATCACTGCGTGGAACTGCTTATATGTATAGGTATTTAAATAATGGCAATTTAAACCCAGGTTTTGAATTAAATTCATATACTGTATCTCCCTCACAGCCTATAGTGATGACAAAAGGCCATGACTTTGTGTGTATGTGTGTGCATGAGGGTTGGAGTGTGGAATTACTGGCAGAGAAAGTGCTGGATTCAGATGAGTTAACACAAGAAATGAGTTGGGTTTCTGAATTTAAACTCAGTTGAGTCCATGCAAACTGTCTCCCAGCCAGGTCAATGCTCCTGAGGGACCAGGGGAGATGAAAACACTTCTGAATTCCAAATGTTATTTTCGACCTTTAGACTGATTGGCTTTCAGTAGCTTAGCCTAAAATGTTCCCCTACCTCCCACTGGAAATTTAAATTAAATAATTTGTCAAAGATATGAGACTCAGTGTGTTGCCTTTGATGAGCTGCTGGCACCCTAATAACCCTCAGAATGTGCAAAGGGGTGATAGATTTAATTCCTTCAACAATCAGTGAATGTGCTGATAAGTTAGATAAGGATTGGGTTTGGCAGTGTGAATCTGAACACTGCATGACCATTCCTTCCTCCTCCTCCTTCATTACCATATAGGAGTGAATGCAATCACAGCATGCATGAGCAATAGACCACCCTTCCATTACAGGTCAGTGCATGATTATATAATATTGTATTGATCCCAGCAGGGCAGTTCTATTTTTGATTCCCCCTCAGTTCTATATGTTCAGAGGTCAGGGTCCGCTATTAGACAGCCATGTCTTACTCAAGATTTAGTGTGGATGTTTGCACAGAAAGAGTTGGTTGAAGGTCTCCGGTAATTGATCAAATGTAACCTGACAACTTATGTCAAAGTAAAAGTGTTTATTTGTCATATGCACAGTTAGGAAACGTGTTTACCTGTACAGTGAAATTCTTACTTTGCTGTCCACATGAATGCCACAAAATACAAATGAAATATAAAGTAGATAAATAAGTAACACAAAATCTAAGGCACTTTAAGCAGCAATGCAGCTATATAATAAAAATATATAAGAATATAATAAGAGAATGTATGCTGCATGGGAGCAGCATGTGCAGCATGTCACTCCTAGTCTGGTCATGCCTCTCTCTGCAACACACATGATGGAGCTCCTGGTGGTTGAAGTTGCACATCACCTGAAATTTGAAACAATGCAAATCTGAAACAGTTACATAAATGCACCTCTGTCCAGGACTGCATAAATGAGGAGGAACACAAAGCATCAGAAATGTCATAAGCATGTCAAAGACATTTAACAAGTGATGCAACTTGAAGTAAACTGGGATTACCACCGTACTGAGTATGAACGTAGTGCATTACAAATATTCTTAGCAGTTTACTATGCTACTTGCACTTGTAAACTTCCTTGATTTATGTACTGTACAGATTCTGGTTGAGAACATTTGAACAGCTTTCTCCCCTAGTCAGCTGACATAGATAGAAGATGGAAGTAATGCAACAAGAACCCAAACAAACTGCTTTTTACCTTTGTCTAGGTAGTAGTGTGTCATTTTTGTCCACCCACATTCCACTTGTGGTTGAAGGATACTTTACTTCTGATCTCAGTGTCACAATACAAGTTGCTTTTTAATGTTTAAATTGATTTATCTTGCTATAGTTTTCATTTTTTATAAGCAAGAAACTTAAAAAAATACACGCGTATAATCCTTTAAACTAACTACCACAAGAATATGTTAGAAATGCACCTTGGCAGCTCAATCCAATTGAATAATAAGATTGTGTGCACTGCCCCTTTAAGAATGTAGTCAAAACAAAGCGTGGAGTGGTTGGCCGTACGGAAGTGGTTTTGTCTCGATGGAAACCCACAATAGCATGTGAAAATGAGAGCTGCTACATATGTAAAATTCAGTTAGCTCTCTTAAAAGCGTGTTTTACTTCATTAACAGTTTTTCAATAATATTACTTTGACATCACCTGAACTACATAAAGAACAGCTAGCTAGCTCGTTAGCTAGCTCGTAAACGCAAGCAGACATGCCGTCCTACTCTGAATTGAGGAAAACCAACTACTTCTACTACTTCATCAAATTTACATTAAATATCTACTCAATGCTCTTCTCGGTAAGTTTCGGGTGATTTTATTGACACCAGCATTCTATATACCATAGTATACTGAGCGAAAGCAGTGTCAGCTAATAGCAGTTGACGCTACCCAATCTCCCCGAGACTTCATTCAGAACATTTGCGTTTAAACGTGCCATCTACTTTTAGTACATCCACAGTTTTAGATCATAACTCCAAGAGTACTGAGAATCTGTAGGACCTACTTTACAATTCGGCATATTCTCCAAACAACCACCCCGACTCCTTTAATTATAAAGTATGTTTAAAACGCTCAACCTTGCAAACGTCCACCTACCTAGCGTTATCGTTACAGCTTGAGAAGGGGTTTAACGTTACCTGAGATTTAATTGAATCTCATCACCGTGTATTGGGTAGAACACATCCTGTGTTTACTAAAAGACTGTATTGGTTAGAAGAAAGATATAAATAACTATTACAGTCATTTGTTTGTTGCTGAGTGGTGTACTATTACGTTGCCATATTTTAATGGGAGTTGGTGTGGAATTCTCCTAGCTACTATAGCCGGTGAATGGTTAGCTTAAGATAGTTACCACTTCAGACACCATGCATCATTGTAAACTTTAATATGTTGTTAATACTAGAAATGTGAAGAATCTAATAGTACAATAATATACTGAGATGTTAGTAAATTCATTAGGTTTGAAGACAATATACAGGAATCAAAGGCTAACAAACAGCACCGTGGGGCAGGGCGTTACTTCCAGTTAAAGGGATGATGATGTAGGGTTTTGCCGACAGAAATTATGAGCAGGCTGAAAGACGCACTTGTCAGTGTTTAAGCCTGTTCAGTATGATTTTTTTAAAAGCACATTTAAATTAAATAGCATATTGGTAATAAATATTATCTTTTTTTTCTGCCTACCTATCTGAAATGTTGTCTTAAATAGAGAATATGATCCCAAACTCAGTTTATCTGTTCCTGGCATTTCAGTAAAGTTTTACTCTTCACCACTACTCAAATTGTTTTAATTTGATGGTCACTTTAGTCTGTGGCATACTACATTTTATTCAAATATAACACATATCTCTCTTATTGAAACTAAACTTGGAAAATGTAAGTTAATGGATTGGGTAAAGTTTGTAACTGGAGAGTTTGCCTGTGCCTCTAGGCACTTTGGCTACTAAATCAATTAATTACTTATATGTTGAACTTTGGATGTGTTTTTGTTTGCTGATGTGTCTGAGGTTAATTTGATACCCAGCAACTACTTTAAATGCTGGTTAAGTGAATTTCCTGGCCAGGCCAGTAAGAAGTAAAGCTGATTCATCCTCAGCCTTCATCACCCCATTTACAAACCCTAATGTTTTGTCTGGCTTTGTGCTTCCTCCACCTCACCCCTGGACCGCTTTCATCAATAGCATTGTTGGAATAATAACACACAGACACACAAACACACACACACACACACCCTATGGCACATTATTGACTGTGGCTCCAAAACATCAGTGGTTTGATTCCATTAGCTCTCCAGGGTCCCTTTCATATGAGCCAGCTCTCCCCTCCGCTATCTCTCCATCTTACTGCTGTGATTTAGGACAGTGTGACCCACCCCAGCTCAACAGACACAAGCTCCTTTAGGTACAAGTTAACCATTTGTACTTATTTAAAGTTGTCTTTGTTGTTGGAATATTAAGTTTGCTTAATGTTGCTGAAGTAGGTTTCTTGTGACCGGAATACAGCTGCAATTATCCAGTGGGAAATAACTAGATCTACCCCCCCAACCCTAATACCTAACACCCCCTCAGTAATTCTATATTTTTTATTTCATACTGAATGTAAACAGTGATTCCATTTAGCATTTTATTCGAGTATTAATAAAAAGTTAATCTTCAGAGAAAGTAGACAGGCTGACATTGGATGTGGAAACCAAGCCAAATGTATCTGCCAGTGCTTTATGGAGGGTTTTGAGCAGTGACTGGAGTAAAGTTGGTCAGTCTCTAGTCTTAAGGCACATTGCCTTTGTTTCCGATTTAAAATCACTAGTAGGGAAGCAAACATTGTTTTTACTCCTCTTTTTATAGCACTTGCCTTACGTAATTGGAAACAGGTGCAGCACTCTATCAGACCAATTTGTCAAAACCTGCTCTAATGATATTTAATGACCATTTTCAGTCTACACAAAGGGTTAGACTTGGTGTTTCCAATCAGTTTTAATGTAATGCACTTTTTAACAGTGATTCACTGTGAGACACTGAGATCCAGGACACTGACCAGCTAGATGCCGTGCCAATTACATTTACCCAAGTAGTAAACATAAGTAAAATTTTGGATACTTGTACTTTACTCGAGTTTTTATCACTGCATTTCAGAGTAAGGCTGTGCACTACATGCACTTTGGAGCAGAGCACCTTCATCACATTTTATCCACATGCTTCTATTTTCTGTGTCATCCTTAGTCATCCTTTCACATTTTGCATTCTGTACCCAACATGATATCAGTACTCAGGTTAGGCTCATATTTTGGGGGTTCTGTACTACTAACAAATTATCTAAGCTAGTATGTACAATAACCTGGGAAAACAATTAACAATTCAGATTTAGTTTTACTCATATCACAAATTTCAGGAATTCTTGTGCTAAGAATGACCCTAAACCAAAACTTTACAGGAGGGTCATTACTACCACATAACACAGATACAAAATATCTGAACAGAACATTTCCTGTCGCGTGTTACAGGAGCAGCTGTTTAATCCAACTATGGTTTCTGATTTTGCTCAAAGAATGAAAGGCATTTAAAAGTTAATGGTGTCTGTAATGTCCAACAGTGTTCACACAAGTACTACCTCAACAGCTATGCTTTTAAAGACTTGACTCTGATTGTTCTTCATACTTAGGATTGTGCATGTTTGCGTCTCATGAAGCCTGTCTCCGTCTCCCTCTCCCCCTAGCTGATGGGTCTTTGTGTGCTCTGTGTGGGGGTGTACGCTGAAGTGGAGAGGCAGAAGAATCGAACCCTGGAGGGCCTTTTCCTGGCTCCTGCCGTGGTGCTCATCCTGCTGGGCCTAGTGATGTTCACTGTCTCTGTGGTGGGCATGGTTGGATCCCTCAGGGACAATAAGACCCTGCTGCACATGGTACGGATGGTGGAGGAAGAGAGGAGGGTGGGCTGTTATATACATGACTGCAAGCCTTTTTTAAAGTTTGTTAGATTTGAGATGTATATTTGTGTGTGTTAGTGTAGAACACACACAAATATACATCTTGGTTAATTATGGTTCTCGTTCTGGTTTAGTTTTCAGAATTTTAAAACAATTTGTGCTGTCAAACAAGTTAGAAAATCATTGGTTTTAATGGGGAATAAACAGATGTACACACTCAAGTACATCTACAAAGATTTATGTTTAAACATATATTTATATGTAACTGCAGTATACAGACCGACACATATGCATTAAACCTAAAGGGCACCATGCACAGTCAACGTGTGATGCACATCAAAACACAGTTTTTCAGGATGTACTGTTGTCCTATTTTCCTGGTGTCAACACACATTAGAAACCTAAATTCCCGAAGTACCTGCCCATTTTTGTAGTCCCGCATTGAATTTGTGCTGCTCCCGGTGTATGTTACGGGAGTCATGTGATGCGTGTCACATGATGAGCTGAGAGGCCACCTGTATGTGGTGTCCTTAAAGGGGCTTTCAGATAGGATGCAGTGGGTGCTGTGCTCCGGTGTCAAACCCATTCATTTCTATGTGTTGCATGGTGCATGAACATAACATACCTGCGCTGCTCTGCGCCGAGCTGAGTGCAGTGCAATGTCACACGTGCCGCCCCTGTGCACTGCACTGAAGTTAAAAAAAAGTTCAACTTGGGTGCAGCGCTTTGTGATGACAACCTTGACGCGTCCAATTGCAGAGAACCTGACAGACCACAAAGAAAATGGAGGAGAAGCTGATTTTGTCAGACCCACACCCTCTTCATCTTTGCTGCAGCTCGTCTCCTCCTCCTCCTCATCAGTATGACTAAAGCCAGAGCTTTATGCTGACATGCAGAAAGATTTGATTTGATTTTTGATTGATTTGATTTATTCTTTCAAGCATGTAAAGACAGTTGATATGTCAACACACATAATTTTACACATATCCAACAAATGCTAATCCAATATCAATTTGCTTATACCTAGTACATGCTTGAATGGAGTAGGAAGAAATCAGACTTATCCAGTCCTACCCCATGACATCATCTTACATCATTGGTTTGCAAGCAGTATCTCTACAAAATAATTCTCTTTCTACACCACACAAGTAATATACTAAA